AAAAGGGTGGAAAAGGTGCGTACAAGACGCCAAAAGAATGGCCAATTGACATTTGACCGTTGGTTGGCACCAACTAATACCCCTAATTTTCAAAATAATACCTATGTTGAATATCTTGTTTATTATTATATTTATAATTTTTCTTTATGAATAACGTTATTCAACTAAAGTCTTGATCATTAGTGGTCTATATGATCGTGGGATTACTATCAAATTGTTCAAGAAATTGGAACATATTTTATTAATCGAGAATGTGGCCCCACCTTCGATGAGGGAGTGAATAATATTCTCTCTCTATGCTTGATATTTTCGTACTGTTTAAGGTCTCGTTTAATAATTTTGTTAAATGTAGTACCATCGTTGTCCATATACTTCCATACTTCAATTTGAATTAACCATAAAATGGTTCAATTAATGTAGGCTGTCATCTAAACTGTTGCTAAGCACGAATCATGTTTAATGGCATTATTTTATAAAATTTACCTAAGTATTTCAATTCTATCGTAGTCACTTGCTGACATAAATGCAATGTTTTGTGGGTTTGTTGATGAAAGGTGTATGGTGCAGTTTGCAAAATGTTTCAAAGTGGACCATCCTTTGTCCCTTCCCATTATTATGCTTCGTTGCAAATCGCTATCTTTCAACGAATTCCGAATACAGAAACATTAAAATAATCAAAACTCCTTGTCATTGTTTGATGGAGGGCACCTTTAATATTCGATAATTACCCTCACTACTTTTCTAATTGTGATGTCACACCCTTTAACTTTATTTCGCATATTCTAGCCTCCCGCAAAAAAGAGAGAAAATGTTATTTCCCTACTTTGCATAAGCTGGGGTGGATGTGATTCCATTTAATTTAGTTCCATTGAGAATCGGAGTCGAACCGAAAATCAATGATTTTCTTATAATGAAACTATTGGATCCATAGATGATTATGAATTTCAATCGATTCGATTCGGCTCAGTTCGATTTGGTTTCATAACCAAAGTTTTTAAAAGTCACGTCCGAAATTAAAACAATAAGCCTTATTCAATACAAATGAAAGTTCTATTTTCATACTACATATTGTCTAATAATAATCATTCACCAAATTAATAAATAAAACATAATTAATTAACAAAATGGTCGGATTAGCACCTATTCTTGGTTCCAGGTACTAGAATTGGAACCTAATCAAAACTTATAGGTTCTTGGTTCCAAGAATCCGAACCGTTCATAACTGAATTGAATCGACCGCTCTAATTTGGTTCGATTGGTTTTGGTCCTTTTGTCCACCCCTGATGGATACAGTATATTTTGGTATATTATTATGTTAGATATGTGGAGTCTAAAATGTTGTACAATTTTTTTCTCGATCGTCCTAATAGTTTCTTCCTAGATAAAAATGTTATTAAGACAAACCTCCATTATGTGTTATAGTAAAGAGAGAACATGGAGATGTAAGTTCCAAAACATATTATAATTCTATTCTTCTGTATAGCACAATTCTGCAACGTTGCACCAAGTACATGCAACTCGTACGTTGAGAATAATGAAACTCCTTAATTCGTGAATTTCATGTTGTTTTATTTTAGATAATTGCTTCTATTGTTCCACTCCAATGGTGGCAATGATGAGCACTAAACAAAACTCAAGTTCTGCAACATCAAAAACTGTTATAAAAAAATAAAAAAGTATTCAATCTGTCGCAAATACTAGCATAATGAATTAAAAAAATAAAAGCATATTTCATGGTCGAAATCATATAAAATTAAAAGTAAGAAAATATATTTTGAAAAATTACTTTTTGTGCAGAAAAAAAAGCAACTTTGCTAAAGGGGCTGTGATTCTGGGACTGGTTGTGGGGCTCCATGGCGGCCCTTTGGATCATGGGAGCGTATCCGCCATTCATGATAGGTCTGGAAGAACCCCGCAAGGGCATTTTCTCGTAATTATCCCACCCATTAATATTTATTTTTTTAATTTTTAGCCCTGGCCGTCCAGGGGCCGCATGCAAATTCCTTTGAAGGATGTGATTTTTTTTAATAAAATTTTTTTGCCTGTCATTGTTTTGTGAATTTACAGACCTGCAATAAATATGTTGAGAAATGCTATGCAAAAATAAAAAATAAAAAAATCCAACCATACAGATGCTGCCATCGCAGCAGCAGCAGCGGCGGTAAGATTAATCCATGTTGAGAAATGCCCATCAACTTTTAGACAAAAAGGAAAATCTTTACAGGGAAAAAGTATTAGCTGATTTCACCATATCTTGAGCATGGTTGTGGCCCCAGCATCAGTGTCCTGATATGATGCAAGTTCTGCACAACTCTTCGCCACTTGGCACTGTCGAAATGACCACCCCTCAGTAGCAACTTTGACCTGGTTTCCAGCAGTATAGCTTTCAGCAATGACACTTCTTGCCACATGCACTTGTCCACTCTGTCACTTCTCCTCCAACTATGCTACAATTTGTTGCTCAAACTATAAAAAAGGACCCATTTTAGTCCTCTATCTATTTCTAGGCCACAAATCAATCCTCCAACTATTGTAAAGCTTTACTTTGGTCATCGGACTATTCAATAGTCCAATTTGGTCCTGAAACTACTTTGAGGCGACAATTTGGTCCTCCAACTTTTCACTGACAATAATTCTTTCCTCCAACTATGCTTAAGCTTTCGTTTGGTCCTCCAACTGTATAAAGGCCCATTTTGGTCCTGAAAATCTTCAGATGTGACAATTTGGTCCTCCAACTATTCAAAGCCGTGAATTTGATCCGCCAGCTATGCACATGCATCAAGTTTGTCAACCCATTTTACATAGATGAAGCTGTGGTTTTCAAACTTCTCACCAACAGTTCAGTCTTCCATACATGCTAAAGTTCAATTTGATCCTTCTAAGCCCACAATTTTGTCTTACAATTATTCACACGCGCCAATTCTTTCCTCAAACTATTAACATTTATCAAGTTGGTTCTCCCATTTTACAGAGATGACAATTCTATCCTCCACCTATTTATACAAATCAAAATTTATGATTATAGTTAAATGCTAGCTGGAATAATAATGCAATTTCCAGGCTTGTACCTGTTACAGGCCCATGAAAAGCGAAGAGTAGTTATCAATACCAATAGGGACGGATCCAGGATCGGATTACAGGCCAGACTAATACATAAAAAAAAAATTACACATGTCTTTTTTTACATAATTTTTTTTTCTAACTAAAAAAAAATTGAATACCAATATATACCAGAAAACAAATTTTTTTTTTTTCATAAATAACAATGTTTTAAAAGGCAAGGTGATGCAATACAAAAAGAAGAAGAGTTCATGGGGATTAATGTCGGAAAAAATGAATTTTCAAAGTGTTTGTTTTTGGAGCTTTCTGGGTCTATTTTGAGTGGAAACTGTCCAGTGAGCAAAATTCATCAGCTTTGCCCATAAGGTACAACCAGTTTCTGTCCAATTCCATCGTTTAGGGTTCCGAAAATGCATTTTTCTTTATCTGGATAATTTTCTTAATTTTAATTAGATTAGGATTTTAATTTCATTTAGAGTTTGATTTTATCTTTTATTCTATCATTATCGAGCGTTAGTCGTTATCTAGTAGTTACTTATTATCCAAATTTTATTTACTTTGTTGTAATACATTTTTACGCTCAATTGAGTTTTGAATTAAATAAAAAG